CCACAAGCTCCAATTTCGGTTTTTCAAAAGAATAACATACCTCTATATATGCTTGCCAGTGCCAAAGCCACTTCGATGTTCTTTTAAAAGGCCGAGAACCGATGATGATCGGTAGATGATCAGATGATGGTGCGAAGCAAGTTGATGAATGATGATACATGGCATGAACTAACTTGTAGTACTTCTTTTCAGGGTCACGATTACTAATTAAGGCTTCTTTGTCAAGCAAGAGTGGGTGTCAAACAGCAATCCGTCCTGTCACTTGAGTTGTCAATCCAAAGAAGTTGGTACGTCTCTCACAACCCTATCCTGCCACCCGCCCAACGGAATTAACAGATTGACGGAAACATGGAAGACATTACATCAAAAGTCTCATATAAAAATTTCAGAAAGCAGACAATGGCCGTGCACTTCCTATCCAACTGCCTTTTTTTGTTTCCTTTGGTTCTTCCACCGACAAACGATTCCACATGTACAAAGTTATTCATATTCCTCACTTGCTATCAAGTAGATCGGTGTGTGTGTGTGTGTGCGCCTGTCTGTCATTGCCTTGTGGAGATAGCTTCCATCATCTTACTCGATTTCAAGGCTTGTGTTTCAAGCATTCCTTTCTATCGCTCCGAAGTCTTGGCCGCAGCTTCATCAATTATCTGATACCTTGTGCCCGATTTCAGGTTGCTTTCTCTGTTGGGCAATCACATGACTGTTGCGTTTGTTTCCAAAAAAAAAAAAACATGACTGTTGCGTTTCTCTGCAGACTGTAGATCCCTTGTTTTGTGCTGGATCCCAAAGGCACATTAATTGGGTAGATGAACATATGAGTAAAGTCTTCCTGTTCAACCGATTTATCTACAGAATCTGTACAACTGATAACTCACGCTGTGGATTAGATCTAACCACGCTCGTATGCGTGCAGGTGCAGGTGATGACCGGTGAGCTGGAAGACTTGGAGTTGTTGCGCTACTAGACCTGAGCCTGACCGAGGGCATCTCATATTCTCATTGTTGTCGCTTGCTGTGCTGGTATTGGCTGTCGCTAGGCCCCGGCCAATCTCGATCCCATCTTGTGTCCTAAGTATCTCTTGAGGATATTATTTCCCATTTCAGTGGCTCGATCACATTTTCTGCTTCGTTTGTGTTGGTACACAGGGAAGGCGCATGGACGCTAATGATCGAGCCGAGTAGCTAGCCAAATAATCAACGGTGCTCTGGTCGTCTTGAGGATTTGGTTGGAGGAGGGAGATATCTTTGCAGATGGGATCCATCATCACCATCCATGACACCTAACTAACTAAGCAAACTAGCTCTAGCATTGTCGGCGCTTGCAGCTCCGTGATAGATCTATCGAAACTATCCTATGAAAGTTCATGTCTCATGGAGAATACTCGGCGTCGACGGCCTATATGGCGCAGTTTGCGGGACACACGACAATCATCATGCCTGCTGCTGTTTGAAAGGGTTGGGCCCCTCCGAAATGCAAATTTTTTGCTTGGTTGATAATTCAAAACAGAGTTTGGACAGCTGATCGATTGCGCCGTCGTGGATAGCCGAACTGCAACCTCTGCCCGCTTTGCAAGCAAGTCCAAGAAATCGCAGCACACCTTCTCTTCTAATGCAGGTTCTCCCAGCGTGTCTGGATCGAGGTTGCAACATGGCTTGGTATACATGGCAATATGGTGAGGAGCTGTCGAAATAAGGTTTCGGTTTGAGAATGGTGGATTAAAAATGTGGTTGAGCGTGGAGATCAGAGAAAGGCTATCGCCTCCTTGTTCATGCTCATGTCTTGGGAGATTTGGAAAGAGCGTAATGGAAGGGTTTTCCGTAACACCGCCACTACGACGATGATGCTCATCGCGAAGATAAAAGAGGAGGCCCATCTTTGGGCTATTGCCGGTGCCACCCACTTGAGTATTGTAATGCCGCGAGAGTAGATATTTGTCTCCCTCTTTGCGGTCGTTTGTCTTAAACCTTCTCCCTTAATCAATAAAAATGGTAAATTTTTTGCCTTGTTTCAAAAAAAATAAAAAAAATAACATAAAGCATTTGTGGATCGGTGACATGAAATCTGGTCCAGGACAGGCCGCGGCACGCCCCAATCATGCACCGAAAGTGGAATGGGAAATTGCCGAAAGGTTTAGTGGCCGTAACAGCTACTTGGGCGGTACCAACTGATTGACGGCGCTAATTGCCACCGCAAGCATGGACACGTACGTACGTACGGGTTTAGAACAGCCATTGCATTGGTGTTGCGCGTAAATGAAATTAAATCTCCGCAGTGGAAGCAAGCACCGTACCCATTACTTGCTTGAGGATTCAGCTGCCTGGTTTCGTGCGTTGGAAAGGGACACTGGGACTGAGAATGGCACCGACATGAACGTTTGATTGTTGTCACTCGCGTGCTTTGTTAGTCACTAAACCCATCTGGCCACCTGTGCTGTGCTTTGCTTGCTTGTGGCAACTGGCAAGGCAGCGCCGTTTGGATGGGTGCATTTCGGGTTCCACTGAGTCGGTGACTGCGTACAACAGCCAAGCGAAACAACATCGGCTACATGGCGCTGCGGCATCGGCGGAAGTAAATGGACGTGCACTTTCGCCCTTTCGTCTTTTCTGAAAGCTCAGTTTCACCTCACCTAGCCTACTAGCAAGCATTTGGGCCAAGAGGTCGTGGAGTTGGTCCAGAGTTGTTGCACCTTTCTTTAAGATGCAATGCACAGCTTTGGATGCGATGGATTTACTTGTAGCTCTTCTCTCATGCTGCAGCGCCCTCTAAATCGTGCTACTATATATTACTAGGTCAGCACGCGCATGGGCAATGCCGTACTTTAACCTTCTGTCGCTATCTTTTTTGGCTCACAAAATTGCGTCCAACAGTGGTTCGTCGGAACGGCACCGCGACCGTTGGATTGGAAATGGACGGGCCAGCGATGAATACCTTAGCGCTGCATATAAGCCGTGGAAGTACGCACCACTGGGAATGTAAAGATCACGATGATACTATCAAGCTAGCCGATAATTTTCTCTATAAGTTCATGAAATTTGCGTCAGAATCATATAACACATGTAAAGGACGGCACAACATACATGTAAAATTTTGTAGTAAAAGAATTTATGGTGTGTACTGATTTAAGGACCCCCTTTTACATCTGGTTATTCAAACTTATTGTATCTAGATTTGTGATTTTGTCCACATGTCACAAGTGGTCATTTTATTTTTACAATACTAGCAAAGTGTCTGGGTGAGGATTTAGAGCACACAAGTGCGGGGGCACACACTTTGTGGGCCGTTGATCTGCGCCAAGATTTGCACATATGATTGTATATATACTCTTACCGAAAAAGGCTTCCGTCCCGCTTTATATACAAAGCAATGACCACCAATCATTTCGATACAAACGCACGCCACCATAACAAACACACACCCAAGGCAGGTACAAAGGCGTTGAGCGCAACAACACTACCCCTATATGAAGAGATGAAGCCGCATACGACGATCCGTGGACTCGAAGACACCGCCTTTAGGAATGATACGACACCGGAACGCCGCCATCGTCCGATCCGAGGATCAGAGTTTCCCCTGGAGCAACACGATGGGCGATGAGAACCGCAACGACGCCTTTAAGAATGGAACGAGTTTCGCCACCGCTGGTCTGTCCGAAGAAAGAACGGATTTTCACCCCGCCCAACACTCATCGCCATCGAACACCACACCCCGGCTGCCCTTTGTGTTTGCATCCCTTTGCTTCATACTGAGTTGATAAAAAACCATCCTTTATCGGGAAAAAAGACCAGCAATCCTTGATGATTAGTATGAGTTTTTGATTGGGTACAAAAAAACCCGTAGGGTACATTACATGAGGTTTGAGTGAATAAAATATTTTCTATGAAAATTAGTACAAATGAGTTCTAAGAAAAAACACTCTATGGGTTACAACCCTACGAATCAAGGCTTAATAACGCCACTCGAATTCTGGCAATTCCGAGAAATGTCACTGCAATTTTATTAAATTCGAGTGGTATTTATTAAATTAACCCACGAATCAAACAACCCAGGTAGGAAAACTAATCCCAAGGATTATAATCTTTCAAAATTCCTTCACAGATCATTTGAATCAAAGACGACCTTACCGTTTTAGCCTTTTATTCGATTTTTATTTATTTGAATTAAACCTTTGCCTTCCGTCTATTCAAATGGCAGAACGCCTACACGTTCCTAATTAAAAACATAACGAAGCAGGGGATTGCCAAAAAGTCAAGGCACTTGGTACCTCGAAAAGGAAAGGAAGTGCACGTGTTGCTTGTAGATTTTGCTGAACCCACGCCACCAATATTCAATGCCATCGGTACGGTCAGTGCCACAACCGCTTCAACCGCCAATTGAATTCACAAACCGCCCGCTCATCAACAGCGTCCATCAATCAACTGAAACGAGGCATGTAATTGCGATGCAATGTCATGCGATACAAATCACTTCCAGTTTTACTACTCGCAAATCAAATGAGAAGAAGGGATTCCTGCTGGACGTGGGCTCCACCGGACCCTCGTCTCCCCCCTCCCTTCTCCCAATCCTTTTCCCTCCCTGCCCACTCCAGTAGTCCAGTATAGTATCACGGCACACGCATCCTCTGCTTTCCGCTTCACAGTTTCACCATTCCGTCGACGCCGCCCCTCCCTCCTCCTCCTCCTCTTCCCGACCGGTAAACAGCATCCGGTAACCCAAAAGGAGGGGGAAAGATCAAACGGGAGCAGTTAAACAGGCCAAAAAGACCAAACAGAAATCAAGAACACGTTCCTACCCGGGCACCGGCGCCGTCCGTCCGTCCAGCCGATAGATAGACCCGTCATCGGCACACACATATAAGCCCAGCGCCATCCACGCCTCCCCTCCTCTCCTCTCCCATCCCTCCCTCCCTCCATTGCCCCTCCAGGAAGCCAACCACCAGTTAAGAGTTGGTTCACACTGTCCGAGCAGCCGAGGCGGAGAGAACAAAGCCAGGCGCCACCATGCCCTCCGGCGGCGCGGGCGTGCTCCTCCTCGCCCTGCTCGCCGCGGCCGCTGCCGTCGCCAATGCCGCCGTGTCCTACGACCACAGGGCCGTGGTGATCAACGGGCAGCGCCGCATCCTCATGTCCGGGTCCATCCACTACCCGCGCAGCACCCCGGAGATGTGGCCCGACCTCATCCAGAAGGCCAAGGACGGCGGCCTGGACGTGATACAGACCTACGTCTTCTGGAACGGCCACGAGCCGGCGCGCGGGCAGTACTACTTCGCCGACCGCTACGACCTCGTCCGCTTCGTCAAGCTCGCCAAGCAGGCCGGCCTCTACGTCCACCTCCGCATCGGCCCCTACGTCTGCGCCGAGTGGAACTTCGGGTACCCAACTCAATGTGATTCTTGTCCCCCGGCGCTCATTCTTGTTGCTTCCTTGGTAGTGATTTGGATCGTTTTGGGCGTTGCTGCAGTGGATTCCCTGTTTGGCTCAAGTACGTGCCCGGCATCAGCTTCCGGACGGACAACGGTCCCTTCAAGGTACAGTGCTGGCTGAACTGCGATTTGTAGTTTGTGTTTGATTTGACGACGGAGCTGAGATGAACTGTGGACGCGCATGGATGCACGCAGGCGGAGATGCAGAGGTTCGTGGAGAAGATCGTGTCGATGATGAAGTCGGAGGGCCTGTTCGAGTGGCAGGGCGGCCCCATCATCCTCGCCCAGGTGGAGAACGAGTACGGGCCCATGGAGTCGGCCATGGGCGCCGGCGCCAAGCCCTACGCCAACTGGGCCGCCAAGATGGCCGTCGCCACCGACGCCGGCGTGCCCTGGGTCATGTGCAAGCAGGACGACGCCCCCGACCCCGTGGTAAGCAGGCCTTCTCATCTCCCATGGCGCATTGCCATTTGCCAAAAGAGCAAATTGCGGTGCCAGCTACGTAGTAATTTAACCACTTCGCTTTCTCGCGCTGGGCACATGCTTCTGCCGTTAGGACATCACATCACCGAATCAAGCTGCCAACTTTGCAGCCTGGCGCTGCCACCACAAAATATACTCCTGCTCTATGCTAGTACTAGCTAGTAGAGTAATTCGTTCCTTTTCTTTTTTAAAATTGAAATATTTGTCAGTTTGTGCTCCCTGGGTAACGATGAACGGATTCGTGTTGGCCGCATGCAGATAAACTCCTGCAATGGCTTCTACTGCGACTACTTCAGCCCCAACTCCAACAGCAAGCCTACCATGTGGACCGAGGCCTGGACTGGATGGTAAGTTTGCACGGCTAGTGAACAAACAAATCTCGACAAAGAGCGTTGGAAGTGCAATCTGCACTGCAAGCATGTCACGACATTGATTGTTGACACGATCGATTTGTTGAAGGTTTACGGCGTTCGGCGGCGCGGTGCCGCACCGGCCGGTGGAGGACATGGCGTTCGCCGTGGCGAGGTTCATTCAGAAGGGCGGCTCCTTCGTCAACTACTACATGGTGAGCCACCGATGCTGCCTGCTACCACATGTTGTCACTCGGATGCTTGGGGTTTCAGTTGTAGTGGCACCTAACATTTGATCTGTCTTTCTTTCAGTACCATGGAGGCACAAACTTCGACCGGACCGCCGGTGGCCCGTTCATCGCGACGAGCTACGACTACGACGCACCGATCGACGAATACGGTACGCCATCTGTGCAGCAGGATTCAGTAATTTCAGTTTGTGTTTTGCTTTCCCGGGTGCAAAAAACAGTTGCAAACTCACTGACGAAAAACCATTGCTGGCATGGTGCGCAGGCCTGATCAGGCAGCCGAAATGGGGCCACCTGAGGGACCTGCACAAGGCCATCAAGCAGGCCGAGCCGGCGCTCGTCTCCGGCGATCCCACCGTCCAGCGCATCGGCAACTACGAGAAGGTTCCATCTCGTTCCATGTCATCCAAGTGACAAGAGAACCAAATACTGCTTCTGAAACTGATCGAATATCTGTTACTTGTGCAGGCGTACGTGTTCAAGTCGAGCACCGGGGCCTGCGCCGCGTTCCTGTCCAACTACCACACCAGCTCCGCCGCGAGGGTCGTGTACAACGGCCGGCGGTACGACCTCCCGGCCTGGTCCATCAGCATCCTGCCAGACTGCAAGACCGCCGTCTTCAACACCGCCACGGTACGGGCTGCTCAAGAAACAAACAATACAGAGCCAGCCTGAACTGAACGACAACATGCCCTGACGAACCTGCTCTGACTATTGTGGTGGTGCAGGTGAAGGAGCCGTCGTTGCCGGCGAAGATGAACCCGGCGGGGGGCTTCGCGTGGCAGTCGTACAGCGAGGACACCAACGCGCTGGACTCGAGCGCCTTCACCAAGGACGGCCTGGTGGAGCAGCTCAGCATGACCTGGGACAAGTCCGACTACCTGTGGTACACCACCTAGTGAGTGACTGACACACCATCTCTGTCTGACTGTCTCCAACTCCATGGAACCATTCATTCACCTCCGCTAATCTCTGATTTTTTCCCCCTGATGCAGCGTCAACATCGACTCGAGCGAGCAGTTCCTCAAGTCCGGCCAGTGGCCGCAGCTCACCATCAACTCCGCCGGCCACTCGGTGCAGGTGTTCGTCAACGGCCAGTCCTTCGGTACTGTCTGAAACTCTGAATCTTTTTGTCCGACATCGATCAAATGGAGGCTGAATGTTACTGTACTACTTACTGATGAACATTTGTCCGTGTCCCAGGCGTTGCCTATGGTGGCTACAACAGCCCCAAGCTGACGTACAGCAAGCCCGTGAAGATGTGGCAGGGCAGCAACAAGATCTCCATCCTCAGCTCCGCCATGGGCCTCCCTGTAAGTTTTCATCTCAAATTCTGGGTGCCATGGCGGCACATACAGCACTGTCTCGGTTCTCCGGCATTTCTGACATGGTAAATCTCTGGCAGAACCAAGGGACCCATTACGAGGCCTGGAACGTGGGCGTCCTCGGCCCAGTGACGCTGTCGGGGCTGAACCAGGGGAAGAGGGACCTCAGCAATCAGAAATGGACGTACCAGATCGGCCTCAAAGGCGAGTCGCTCGGCGTCAACTCCATCAGCGGCAGCTCCTCCGTCGAGTGGAGCAGCGCCAGCGGCGCGCAGCCGCTAACATGGCACAAGGTCGGTGCAGAATCTTTATCGACATTACCATTTCACCGAACTTCAGTACAGTTCTGAACCTGGTTTGGCTGCTGATCTGTAGGCCTACTTCGCGGCGCCGGGGGGCAGCGCTCCGGTGGCGCTGGACATGGGCAGCATGGGGAAGGGTCAGATCTGGGTGAACGGGCACAACGCCGGACGGTACTGGTCGTACAGGGCCTCCGGCAGCTGCGGCGCCTGCAGCTACACCGGCACCTTCAGCGAGACCAAGTGCCAGACCAACTGCGGCGACATCTCCCAGCGGTGGTACCACGTGCCGCGGTCGTGGCTCAAGCCCAGCGGCAACCTGCTCGTCGTGCTCGAGGAGTTCGGGGGCGACCTGTCGCGCGTCACGCTGATGACGAGGACGACATGAGAAGAGGGAAGGCGGTGTTGAGTAAATAGGCAATTTCTCGATTAAATTAATCCATGAGTAAATCACTAGCATGGCATTGACTAAGTTGATGACGTACTCACTCTGATTTAAACATGCACGTACTAAGCAAACAGTAGATAAATCTACACATACTGCTAGTACTGCTAATATGAAAATAATCAGGAGCGGGATAAACGAGTTATACCCTTCAGTAGGCCACGCAGAGGCCGCGGCTTTGGTGGCAGCAGCGGCGTTCTCGGCGACCTTCTTGTCGGCTTCAGCTTTCTCGGCGGCGGCACGGTCGGCGTCGGTGGACATGGTGATGACGAAGGCGACGCGGACGTAGAGGAAGTAGACGATCGGAAGCGAGCAGTCGCGTAATCGCTGCCCAAAAACCTATTCGCCCCTCACCCCGTACAGGAACCAGAAGGGCGTGGTTTCGGAGACCTGCTCTCCCGTCGACCGTGTACGTGGCGGACGGGATGGAGTCACCGGCGGCAGCAGCGGCAAAGGAACGACGGTGGGCGTGCGCGTGAGCAGATGTGATCTGTTCGTGGCGGCTAGGGTTAGGAGACACCGCATACTTATAGGCGCAGCCGCGTGGAGAGACGTGGGCTCGACCCACGTCCGAGCCGTGACAGCCCACGATCCGACGTCTCAGATCGTGGCCCAGCTGTCAGAAAACTCTCCGTTAGTGACTGGCAAAAATAAGCGCGTAGGTGTGAGCTCGGCTCGGCTCAATCCCGCAACCCGCGGCGCGTCGTGACGAGGCGGGCGGCGGAGGAGGAGTGCGCGAGGGCCTCTTCTCTTCTCAAGCTCCAATAGCATGTAGAAGAGAAACCCTTATAAACCACTCCAACTCTCCTTCCACTTCCGGGGTGGGACTAAACTTCCCACCACACCTAGTGCCATATAACCCACATGGGCCCTTAGAGATTTTTCAGAAATTGCAATATGGGCCTAGAGCCCATCTCAGATTTCAGCAATCCCCCACCAGATCTCGAGAGCCCATTGTGTCCTCTGTTCCAATTGCTGTTTCGATATACCAGTGTTTCAGTAAAGACCTGTTAAGGTTGAACTTCACCTAGAACAAGTGGCTACACTCCTTCACAACTGAACAATGGACTATGCCTTGAATTGTCAGTTTGGCGTAAAGAAGTTTCACTACATGTCTTACTAGTACTAGGCTGCCGAAGGCTGACCCCTCGGGTGGAGCATATAAGTCACACTCCTGGCCTATTCATGAGCTTACTAGAGATCACCCCAATCTCATAGACTGTGACCAGCAGTCGGGCTCATATAGGTGTGTTCCTCCAAAGATCGCTCTGTAGGATAGCATCTTGCTTTTATAAGCTTTGGAACACATTGAGACCGTAGTCATCCTACCATACAGTATCGAGAGTATTGCATCTCCAACGGAGTGGGTTAGTATAGTTACTCTCCTCAGTTCACCACCGGCTTGTTTTCCCAGGTCCTAGTTCACGGGATCTCCGATCATATAGGTTGGGTTACCACCATGGCAACTCATGTGGGTCTCATACCCATCTCCCTCGATGCATTATCTATCACAACACGTGATAGCCCTTTTGTAAAGGGATCTGCTAGATTCTTAGCCGTATGGACATAGTCCAACGCTATCACTCCGGAGTTTCTTAATTTTCTGACAGCTTTTAATCTCATTCTTATGTGTTTGGTGGACTTCATGTTGTCCTTTGAACTCTTCACCTTGGTGATGACAGTCTGATTGTCACAGTTCATAAGGATAGCCGGAACCGGTTTATCAACCAATGGCAAGTCCATCAAAAGATCTCGAAGCCATCTCGCTTCAACACCAGATGTGTCTAATGCCGTTAATTCTGCTTTCATTGTCGATCTCGTTAAGATCGTTTGCTTGCAAGACTTCCAGGAAACAGCGCCACCTCCAAGAGTAAACATATACCCAGTTGTGGCCTTCATCTCATCAGCATCAGAGATCCAATTCGCATCACTATACCCTTCAAGTACCGACGGGTATCCGGTATAGTGAAGTCCATAGTTCATAGTACCTTTCAGATAGCGCATAACTCTCTCAACAGCATGCCAATGTACATCACCCGGTTTGGAAACAAACCGGCTCAGTTTGCTCACAGCAAACGCGATGTTAGGCCTCGTTGCGCTCGCTAGGTACATCAGTGAACCAATGATTTGAGAGTATCTCAATTGATCTTTAGCCATGCCTTTGGACTTTCGAATCAATACGCTAGGATCATATGGTGTTTGAGATGGTGTGCAGTCCGAATATCCAAAACGACTCAACACCTTCTCAACGTAATGGGATTGCATAAGTGTGATCCCACCCTCATTATCTCTCAGTAGCTTGATGTTCAAGATAACATCAGCCACACCAATGTCTTTCATCTCAAAGTTCTGAGATAAAAACGATTTGACCTCCTCAATGACTTTGAGGTTTGTTCCGAATATCAGTATGTCATCAACATACAAGCACAGTATAACTCCTTCGCCCCCACCATGGCGATAGTATACACATTTGTCAGCCTCATTAACAACGAAACCAACAGATGTCAGAGTTGTATTAAACTTATCATGCCATTGCTTAGGTGCTTGTTTCAGGCCATATAAAGATTTTATCAACCTACACACCTTTCTTTCCTGACCATCTATCACAAAGCCATCAGGCTGTTGCATGTAGATTTCCTCCTTTAGCTCTCCATTTAGAAAAGCCGTCTTAACATCCATCTGATGGACGAGAAGACCATGTGAGGCCGCCAACGAGAGTAATACTCGAATGGTGGTCAGTCTAGCCACAGGTGAATAAGTATCAAAGAAATCTTCCTCTTCTTGCTGGTCATAGCCCTTGGCCACAAGCCTAGCCTTGTACTTTTCAATCGTACCATTGGGCCTAAGCTTCTTTTTGAACACCCACTTACATCCCAGTGGTTTGCAACCATAGGGACGGTCAGTGATCTCCCATGTCCCGTTAGCCATGATGGAATCCATCTCGCTACGGACCGCATCCTTCCAGTAGTCAGCTTCTGGAGAGGCATACGCTTCTGAAATAGAAGTGGGAGTATCATCCACGAGGTACACGAAGAAATCATCACCAAAGGTCTTTGCAGTCCTTTGTCTCTTGCCCCTACCAAGGGTTTCCTCGTCATCCTCCTCGGGATTTTCATCATGTGTTTGTTCATAATATTCCATAGGGATGGCAGGTTCAGGAGTCTCCTCAGATTCCTGTCTAGAAGTGCTTTGCATATCTCTCATAGGAAAAATATCCTCAAAGAATGTAGCATCCTTAGACTCCATAATTGTACCGATCTTCTGGTCAGGTACCTCAGATTTCACTACTAGAAATCTATAGCCAACGCTGTTCTTAGCGTAGCCCAAATTAATGCAGTCCACGGTCTTATGTCCAAGCTTACGCTTTTTGGGGATTGGCACGTTGACTTTCGCCAAACAGCCCCAAGTGCGCAAGTACGAGAGTGCCGTCCTTCTCTTTGCCCATTTCTCATAGGGAGTGATCTCACTATCCTTTGTCGGAACTTTATTCAGGACATGACATGCCGTCAATATAGCCTCCCCCCACCATGCCTTGGATAAACCCGATGTATCTAACATGGCGTTAACCAAATCAGTTAGAGTACGGTTTTTCCGCTCGGCAACCCCGTTTGACTGGGGTGAATAGGGAGGCGTCCTCTCATGAATAATGCCGTGTTCCGCACAGAAGGAATCAAACTCACTCGAGAAGTACTCTCCACCACGATCTGACCGGACTCGTTTAATTTTCTTTTCAAGTTGATTTTCAACTTCTGCCTTATAGATTTTAAAGTAGTGTAGAGCCTCATCTTTAGTATTTAACAGATACACATAGCAATATCTAGTGGAATCATCTATCAATGTCATGAAGTATCTCTTTCCACCTTTAGTCAGCACACCATTCATCTCACAAAGATCGGAACGTATGAGTTCTAATGGTGCCAGGTGTCTCTCCTCCGCGGCCTTATGAGGCTTGCGAGGTTGCTTAGCTTGCACACATGAAAGGCACTTAGAACCTTTGGCTAAAGTGAAACTCGGGATTAAATCCAACTTGGCTAGCCGCGCCATAACACCAAAACTAATGTGACAAAGACGTGAATGCCAAACTTTAGATTCATTAACATTCGAATTAATATGGTTCACGACTTTATTACAAAAATCTGCGAGGGAAAGGCGGAACATCCCTCCGCTCTCATAACCTTTTCCAACAAAGAGTCCATATTTTGTAACAACTAATTTATTAGACTCGAAAACCAACTTAAACCCTTCTCTACATAGAAGGGAGCCACTAACGAGGTTCTTCTTGATGGCGGGGACATGCTGCACGTTCTTCAGCTGCACGATCCTTCCCGAAGTAAACTTCAGATCGACCGTGCCAACACCATGAACAGAAGCACTCGCGCCATTCCCCATCAATACGGACCCGTGACCTGTGACCTGGTAAGAAGTGAACAATGAAATGTCAGCACACACATGAACACCTGCACCTGTGTCCACCCACCAATCGTTGGGTTGAAACACTAAAAAAACAGTAAATAAATTACCGTACCCAGATGCACCATTCTCATTGTTGCCCACAATCATGTTGACAGACTTGGAGTCCTGTCCTGACTTCTTGTACTTGTTTGGGCACTTGTTGGCCCAATGTTCAACCGAACCACAAGTAAAGCAGCCCTCGTCCTTCTTGTTCTTCTTGAAGGTCTTCTTACCCTTCTTCTTAAAGTCGGTATTGTGTTGGACACCGTTCTTACCCTTGGGCTTGTGGGAGTTGAAGTTCTTCTGGTTCACCATGTTGGCAACAGAAGTCCCTTCGGCCCCTTTTCTGTGCGAGTATTTTGCCCTCGAATTCTGCTCAACACTCAGATGGCCAATGACATCCTCCACAGAGAATTCACGCCTCTGATGTTTCAGAGTGGTGGCAAAGTTCCTCCAGGAATTAGGGAGCTTAGCGATTATGCAGCCCGCGA